CGTGCTTGCTACTCTGGCAAACTGCTGGGGCAACGGTGTGTGTGTTCACAGAGAGGGCTCTGAGTGCTGCCTCTGTCATGCTTGCCATAGTTTTGCTACCACTGACCTAGGATATAGGTGTTATGGTTCCAAAAGAAGCAGCTTTTCAAAGAACTTTGAGGCTTTGTTTACCTTAAAGAATCCTTTTATTGCTACATAGCTTCGGCACGTACATAATGAAGCCAAAAACTGAATCCTCCCACCCCCAATCACCCGTAACAAAGCATAACTCACTCCTTCATTTTACAGTCATCAATCATGTTCTTCAATTAATTTGAAGTGTGAACTTTCCCTCCTGTAACTCCTCTGGTTACAGCTGACCTTGGAAATACTGTACTGAAATATTGTTGTGGCTAACTATCCCCTGAGAACATACTTTCCCACCCGCTATTCTAACATTGTCTGACTTTAACTCTAGAAGTGATATGCAGGTTAAATAAAACATGTTTGCTTCTTCATATATGGCAAGCAAGAACATCCGGTGTTAGCAGTCTTGACATCAGGATTTCCAGTGAAGGTGTTGAGATGGACCCAGCTAAAGTAAAAACTGTACTGGATTGGCAAACTCCAAGGACCTGTAAGCAACTCCAGAGTTGCAATTCATCCCTTCCTTTGCTGAGATTGCTTTGCCAATTACTGAACTGTTAAAAACAGAAAAAACAGGGGAAGCCACATCCCTGCCAACCCCTGCCTTGGTCCATAGAATACCAAACTGCTTTTGAGAATTTAAAGAGACTGTTTGCAGCAGAACCCGTTCTCAAACATCCCAATTCTGAGAAACAATTCATCATCCAAGCCGATGCTAGTGATGTAGCTATGCAAAGGAATGGGAAGGGGGATTTGCAGCCTTGTCACCTCTAAAAAGTTAACAGATAATGAACGAAGGTGGGTGGTCTGGGAGAAAGAGGCTTTTGCAGTGTGGTGGACTCTGCTCACCTGGCATCACTTTCTTGAAGGGGGCAACTTGCCTTTTGAAGTGTGGACTGATCACAAAAATCTAGAAGCACTGAACCCCCCCCCCCCATAAGTTATCTCCTAAACAAGTTCGGTGGGCACAATATTTTAACTTTCAATTTCACACTAAAATACATCTTGGGAGGAAAAAATTTCCTAGCTGACACCCTGTCCAGACTGCCCTGATACAAAAGCTGTTGAAAAGAGATTGTAAACTCTATCATTCTGCAACCAGAGTCAGTCTCTCAAGTAACTACAGGGGGGGCATCATGGGAAAAATCAACTGAACCTGGTAGCCTGTTAACAAACAGGCTAAAGGAGGAGTTGAAGACTGACTCCTAGTTCCTGGCAAATAAAACCATACTGACTTGTCGGGACAGGTTAGCTTGGAAAGGATTGAAACTACCTACCAGAAATCCTTAGAGTTTAGGCCCTCCAGCGCAGCCACACTAGCAAACAAGCAGGCCACTTTGGATACCTAAAAACTTTACATTTAATTTGACAGCAGTTTTGATAGCCAGGCTAAAGAATGATGTTGAGAATTATGTGAAAAGCTATGCAACTTGTGCAACCCAATGAAAAAACGTCCAGGTAAGCACCCAGGTAAGATTATTGCAGCAAGTCACAGATCCTTCCCAACCCTGGGAAGAGATTGCTATGGATTTTATTGTGGAATTACCTGAAAGTAGGGGAAATACAGTAATATGGACTGTGATTGACCTTTTTTCTAAGCAAGCTCACTTCATTGCCTGCACAGGTCTTTCCTCTGCAAAGAAGCTATCAAGGATGTTTCTGAAACATGTCTACTGGCTCTGTGGAGCTCCAAAGCAGATTATTTCAGATGGGTGCAATTCATTGCCAAGTTCTGGAGAGACTTTCTGAAACTTATTGGGTCTACGCAGGGGCTGTCATCGGCTTTTCATCCATCTACTAATGGAATTGCTGAAAAAGCTAACTCTATGGTGGAACAATACATTAGATGTTATGTTGACTAGCAACAAACAACATGGGCCGACCTCCCCTTTGCTGAGGTAGCTTACAATAACACAGTGCATAGCAACACTGGATTCACTCCTTTTAAAATAGTTATTGGTGGGGAGTTCGTTCCCATGCCTGAACTCCTTCAGGACCTTCCTGTTTCTCAAACTTTAGATCAATGGGTAACTTCTTGGAAAGCTGTTTGGGACAATGCAAAAACGGCTCTAATAAAATCCTCAAAAATCTACAAAGAGCAGGCAGACAAGAGAAGGGCCCCCCAGAGGCCATTCCGTGTGGGTGAAAAGGTTTATCTCTACAAAATATCTAAGACTCAAGTTGTCTAGTAAAAAATTAAGACCTAAATTTCTTAGACCTTTTCCAGTAGTGCAGATTATAAACCCAGTCACTGTGGAGTTAAAGCTCCCTCGTCTTTTAGGGAAAATTCACCCTGTATTTCACTGCAGCCTATTGAAGCCATACAGGGAGTCCTCACTGAGACCTCCTCCAAGACAAGCACCTGGTCCTCTTGTTGAGGGAGAGACTCATTACGAAATAAAATGAATCCTTGGTTATACAAGGGAAAGTTACAGTATCTGGTGCAGCGGAAAGGTTACCCACTATCAGAGGCCACCTGGGTTACAAGTACTGATGTAAAAACTGATAGATTAATACGCAAATTTTATGATAGACATCTGAGTAAGCCCAGAGTAAACCCTAACTCTAACTCTCTGCCTGCAGGATTTCTCTCTTCTTTAGGAGATCTGACTGTCAATCTTCGCCCGGATTTGGCTGCAGCCTTTTTTGTTTTGTTCTTGGTTGCCACAGTATTGGGAGGGGGGAGATGTATTCTTTTAGTTTAGACAACAATAAATTGTTCTGTGGGAACCAAGGTCAAGTTACCTAAGTGCTTGGCGAGCTGAAGCTACCATTAGAAAGCCCGCCAAAGTAATTAATTGAGGATTGTGATTTATAACACACTGCAGGGGTGGGGAGTTCAACTTTTACTCTGTAACCATCGGGGGGGGGACTTTCAGACTTGGGTTCACCTTTGTTCGTGCCAATATTATGTAGCCAATAAATGTGTTCTTTGAGGAAAGCAATTGCCTCGGAGTTCTTATTTCTACTGGTTTCGTCTATAAGAACCATGACACAAACCTTCAGCCGAGTGGTAGGGTTCTGATCACTCCCATTTTGTGCTCCAGTGAGTGATGAGAATCAAAATGTAAATACTGATCTGTGTGGGTTTTTTGTAAACTTCAATGTTAAAGCATCTTTCTTAATGTGTACTGTGTAGTCCAGGAAAGCCAGACTATTTTCCTTAACAACTTCCTATGTGAATTTAATGTATCTGTCCACAGAGTTGAAGTGTTTGGTGAAGGCTTCTACTTCCTGTGTTTTAATCTTGACCCAAGTATGGTCCACATACCTATATCAGCGAGTGGGTGGAATTCCTGTGAAGGAGTTTAGGGCTTTGGTTTCTATCTCTTTCGTGTTAAATTGGGCACAAGGGAGAACACAGGGTGCAGCCATGTTTTTGTCTGTAGAAACCTTCATTGTATTTAGAATACATGGTCAGGCAGAGGACCAGCATGGCACATATGTGGTTTGGGCTGAGTTTAGTTCTGTCTCCTAATGTGCTGTTTTGTAGTAGTCGTTTCTTCGCTACCGTGACAGCTTCAGTTGTTGGAATGCAGGTGAAGAATGAAATCATACCATAAGAAACCATAGTCTCATCCGGATCCAGGTTTAGTTTCTAAACCTTGCTCACAAAATCTTGTGAATTACTGATGTGATGGTAGTGTTGCCGACTGGAGGAGCTAATGTGATTAGATGTTTTACAGTGTTGTAGATAATGGAGTTGATGCTGCTGACAATAGGTGGAGTGCCCTCTTTGTGGATTTTGGGGAGTCCATATATGCATGGAGTGGCTTCCCCAGGTTAAAGGCGATAGCATTGTGGTTTGTTGGTGGCATTGTCCTTCAGTAGTTGTTGCAGGAAATCAATCTTTTTCTTATAACTGCTAGTGGGATCTCTCCTCAGAGTCTCATATGTAGTACTGCCCTTCAGAAAACTGTTAACCTTGACACTGTAGTCATCTGTGTTCAAGATAACTGTGCATCTTCCTTTAGCAAGATGATGAAAGTCCACATTCTGGACAGAGAGGACCACTAGTTTGAAAGAGTGGTCAAAGAGATCATGTATGTTAAAATTTAACATCCTTCTCTCAACAGAGGGGGAGGGATAAGACATCATCTATCTTCTTTTTACAACATGGTCCTTTCAGCAGTTCCAAGAAGGTTCCACACCCATTTGCATTCTGATTCAGGTGATCCTGAGGTCACAGATAAACCCCCAAGTGGCTTCAACAGCTCTCAGAAAAAGCGCTAACGACCAGATGAGTGCAAGGAATATAATTCCTTCAATTCCCACAAGTCAGTCAGACTTGAAGCAGATTCTTGGATGAGACGCTTTCAAGGAAAAAACAGTCCAGTTGCCCTTTGAAAAAGCACTCTTGGGACAACTATGACCTGAAGAATTAAGAATCTCCATAGACGTTCTGACCTGATCATTCTAGTGTTTTTATTAAAAAATAATATCATTTTAGAGATCGGGACTGAAGTAATAAACTAATAATAAAACTTATAACAGTTTTCTCTAAGTATGATATTTGGCATTAATGTAATGGTCTGCCATTAAAATTCCCATTGTTGCATAAATATTACTACCATATATCCAAATTCTGCATTTGTTTAATCATATGGTTTTTAACTTAGTTGGTGGTCTATCACTGAACTTTAGTAGCTATTCATAAAACATTGGGTTGGTGCTTTGCAGATACTTTACTGAGTCAAGGGATATGTGCAGAATGATTTCCCATTCCCATTGGAAAATCCTAACTGATTGCCAAACATTTCTGATTAGAGGACACTATAATCCTTTAATGGTGTGAATCGTATTTGTCAAACATCTGATGAAAAATACAGTGTAACAGTTACCAAAGCTCAGAACTCCTGTCTTTTTCTCCAAAGAGTTTGCCACTATGGAGCCTGTAAGTATTGACAACCTGTCAATTTTGTATCAAAGTGAGGACTTCATCGTGGTCAACAAGCACTGGGATGTCCGCATTGACAGCAAGATGTGGTATGAAAAGCTGACACTGCAGAGTCAGCTGAAATACCGATTTCCAGAACTTGCTGATCCAGGCACTTACTATGGCTTCCGGTAAGTGGGTAGGTTTCCGTGAGGCAGGGTGGCGAGTGTTGATGATGGAGACCATGAGTCCCATCTGTTAAGAGAGGGCAACTAGTTCAGCACCAATGCTTGTTTCCAACACTGTTACATCTGGGAATGCTGCTTTTACTCCCTTGTGTATTGAAGCCTTTCCTGTTTGGAGCAATGCTTGGAGCTCAGCACTATAGCAAGGCCTTCTCTTAGCTGCTCGATGTTCCTGCTGAGAATGGGACGGTTGCTTTCTAAAATCCTATACAATTTGTTTTAGATCAATGCTTCCATTGCTGCTAGGTTGCCCATTTTATATTTTTCTGATGTTACTAGTTTTGCCTTCTGATCGGTTGTGTTTTGGTTGTGTTTTATTTTTTTATCATAACTTCATAAGTTTCTATTTGCTTCTGAAGGGGAGTGAGCAGCTTTTTGGCATTACCAAAAAGCAACAGCTGTGATCCCACAAAAGGTATAGTCCTTTGGCTCTAAACAAGAAACCGACCCTCTTTTAGGCCTCAGCCATGTCATATTTAACTCTTTTGAAATATAATGAGTAAGGGTCTACAAATATTTTAATTGGGTTTACATATGAACATACTTTGAGTACTTTTTTTTATTTTTAGGTTTTGCCACCAGCTGGATTTCTCCACCAGTGGAGCACTTTGTGTGGCACTGAACAGAGAGGCAGCTGGCAGTGTATACAAGTGTTTCAAAAACCGGACAGTCACCAAAGCCTACCTTGCATTGGTAAACTACCCCTGTTCTTTCCACTATGTGACAGCCAAACTGCAGTGTTTTCTAGATTGTAGAAATGGAAATGAATTTTTTTCTGAATGTTTAAATTTTGAATGAAGAGGATAGACTTTGCTGAGCAGTAGCGTGTTCGGGTGATAAGAAAAAAATTGTCATATAACAAGAGAAGCTGCTCTATTGTAGTGGAATGGGATTATTGATCATGGGGATATTGCCATGCCCGCTTTACCCTGGGCAGTCCATCGCAGCTGAACTTTCGCAGGCATTCATTCTCAGCTGGCCTTCTGCCAGCACTCCTGCCCCAGCACTAGTCCCCTGTCCTCTATTCCTCACCATGTGGCCATGGGTGATTCACCCAGGGACACTTATCCCTGGCTGATTCGTGGCGCAGGACAACTATCTGCCGGGCAATCTGCATGCTAAGGGATAGGCTAGCAGCCTTAGGTGCAGGGGAGGTGGGGGACAGAACGGTGGGTCCGCATGCAGATCTTCTTTCTTCCAGGTGCCACTGGAGGGAAAGAGGGAGACAGGAGGGAAGCAGGGAGAGAAGGAGCAAGACTGAGCCAGGAGAGAAAGGGGAGAGGAGGAGGAGGAGGAGGAGGAAGCCATGGCACAGGTCAACGAATGTGGGGAACGGAGACTCGAAGGCAGAGTAAGCAAATTTCACACTCCGTAAGGAGGATTTTTCTCCTTGTTTCTTGCGGTCAAGGCGTCCGCCACCCCTCCCTGGTGCTCCACTGGCTTCTATGGCTTTTAAAAAACATTTTGAAGTGTAACGATGCTAAGAAAAAGACTCAGGCATTTCTTGAGCAGAGGTTTGAAGCTGCAGGACACACCTTGACAAACTCTTGAGTTTATTGCTTCTTATATACTTTTTACATACATAGGCTTTACCATTAACTGCTGACATTTTACATTCATAAGTTTAACCTTTAGCTGTTGACATAAAGTAATTGAAAAATTCCTTCATATAAGCAACTATTTTCTAGTAACATATTACCTGTTCAGAGAGCAGGTAAAAACAAATACAGGTAGATTAAAAAGGAGAAAGAACTGACAAAGACAGGAAGAGATAAAGACAGGAAGAGATAAGGGGGAACTTAAAGCATACTATTTATTTAGGTAGGTAAGGTATTAAGTCAAAAGGGGGTGATCTTTTGGCTGCTTCCTTGGGACAAAGGGTATCAAAAGGTTATGAGGTTTGTGGGGGGGGGGAAGCATGGCAGTTTGCTGCGCGTGCTTTTTTCCCCACATTGAAGTGTTTTTAAAACAAAATATTATCATATTTTATTTGGGTTATGTTCAGGCGGTCCATGAGCATTGCATTGAGCTAGTTCTCTTCCGTCCTCAATGGCTGGTTGATTATGGAGTGCTACAGAGTTTGGTACTCTGTCCACTCCTGTTCAACCTCTATAGGATATTGGATGAGATCATCCATAACCTTGGGTTTTAATGCCCAGCTAGCTATATACTTTGTTTACTTCCCTAGTGAAGTAAGCAATGCTGCCAACATCCTGTCACAGTCTGGAGATCATAGGGGCTTGGATGGGGAACAACAGGCTTTGGTTCAATCCTGGCAACACTGAGTAGCTTTGGGTTTAGGGCCACCTGGATCTGGGAACTTACCATCTTTGGGTCAAAGGAACTGTCTGCAGAATTCAGAGGTGGGATTATTACAAGGCCGATCTGGGGAAGGCTAGAATAAAATTTCTACTGCACTGAAGGTTCCTAAGAGCACAGTGGCCTCCATAATTCTCAAATGGAAGAAGTTTGCAGAACCAGGACTCTTCCAAGTGCTGGTTTCCCAGTCAAACTGAGCAATTGGGAGAGAAGGGTCTTAGAGAGGTGACCAAGAATCCGATGGTCACTCAGACTGAGCTCCAGAGATCCACAACTGAGAGAGCTGCTGGAGAGAGCAGACATGCAGAAGTGGGGCTCTCCTGAATAATCTAATTAAAAACCTAAAAAAAAAAAAAAAAAACCCAAACATGCACAGAATTGCAACCACAGGTTAAAAAAAGGGAATGGAGGAAAAGACTGGACTTAGACTGGACTTGGAGAGAAGAGAAATCTTGAAAATCAAACATTTATTTAGATTCAAAGTTCCAAATTCTGGCGAGAGGCAGCCCAGCTGAGAGGTGGCCCATCGGGCCCAACTATGACATGGTCCAGCTGAGAGGTAGCCCAGCTGAGAGACAACCCAGGTCCCAACTGAGAGGTGGACCGGCAACCCATCTGAGAGAAGGAGAGATAGCTGAGCTGAGAGACGGAGAGGCAGCCCAGCGACTCAGCCTGACACCAGAACGGAGCCAGTGCAGTGCAAATGGAGGCCACTGAGCAGTGGTGCAACGGAGCTAAATGGCAGCAAACATCAGCAACTGTGAGCAGCATGGCAGACCTTGAGTAGCAGCGGGGCAGAACTGCATGGCAGCAATAAAGTGCCCTGAGGATCAGTGAGGTGAACAAGCAGTGGCTGAGAGCAGTACAGAAGATCAACTGTGCAGCGGCGCCCACAGCAGAGGCTGAGAGCAGTGTGGAGGACTACTAAGCAGATTGCCTATATCAGCACATTGTACCTGAAATACCCAATAGTGTCCTGACAATTGAAGGGCAAGAAAGCGGGGGTGGGGGGAGGAGATAAATACAAGATGCTTGTGGACAGGGAGGAAAGGGATAAACTTTAATGTCAGGGTTAAGAGCAAAGCATCTCCTAGAAAATAGCCTGATATTTCCAACAACAAAAAAGTGCATATTACTTCATAAGGGGCCAAAAACTCTAGTAAATTTTTAAATTTTTTAAATGCCTTTTTTAACATTTTATTAAATTGTAAAGTAAAATACAAAGCAGATATTAGGACACAATGGGGAGGAAAAAGGGAGAAGGAAGGGAGGGAAAGAAAAAAAAAAGAGATTGACTTTCGACATCCCCTGTTGCAGTAGAATAAACCATTAATGTCAAGCCTCAACTTTTTACTTTTTCACAATAGTAAAAACTAGCCATTTCTGTAACAACAAATCAGTCTAATCCAGTGGTTCTCAACCTTTTTAATGCCGCGACCCCCAACCGGTTGTAAGTCAAGGACTACTCAACCGGTCGTAAGTCGAGGACTACTCAACTGGTGCAGCACCGTTTGCAGAATGGGACTTTTGGTGGGCTCAGATGGGCAGAGACAGCCTGGACAATTCCTATTGGCTTTTGAAAGCCAATAGAATTAGACTCTATTCAAGAGAGTCTATTCTATTGGCTTTCAAAAGCCAATAGAATAAAAGGGAGTAGCACAGCTAAGGAAAAGGGGGAAAAATGGCGGACTGCGTTGTTTGGCGACCCCCGTGAAATGGTCGTTCGACCCCAAATGGGGTCCCGACCCACAGGTTGAGAACCACTGGTCTATTCAGTGAAACCAGAATCAAGGTTTCATTTTTTTCCATCTCAAGCACAAAGTCCAGAAGCGGTCTCCATGTAGAAACGAAGGTACTTATATTCTTTTCTTTAATCAAAACAGTCAATTTTGCCATCTCTGCCAACTCCATCAACTTCTGTAGCCATTTGTTCATAGTGGGAATCAAAATGTCCTTCCATTTTTGTGCATATAGTAGTCTTGCTGCCATCAACATATACAGCATCAAAGATTCTACAGGATCAATTTTTTTTTCCAAATCTTTTTCCATTAAATCCAAAAGAAAAGTTTCTAGTTTCATGTTTATTTTTATTTTAAGGATTTTCTCTATCAAAATGTGAATCCTTCTCCAATCATGCTTTATCACATGTTCACCATAAATGATAAAAAGTCCCTTCTTTACATTTACATTTCTAGCATTCATTTGAAATACATTTATACATTCTAGATAGCTTGTCTGGTGTTAAATAATAATCATACATCAACTTGTAGAAGTTTTAAGTTGTAAGTCAATGTAAATTTTAAACTTTTCATCCACATATTCTCCCATTGTTCCAGCATCACATTATAACCAAAATTCTTTGCCCAATGTTTTACATGTTTACTTTCCAAATTCAATTTCAATAGCATTTTATAAGTCTTAGCAATAATATGTTCTTCACTACCACACAATGTTTCAAATTCATTTTTAATGAAGTCAAAGCTAAAGTTTAAACCTTTCTTTCAGTTGTTGGTATGTAAACCAATGACAAACATAACCCTCTGATTTTAACTCTTCCCTCGATTTAAGAATAGGGTCACCTGAGTTGAAAAGTATTATTTTACCATAGATCCACTAGTCCGGTTTCACAACCATTTCTTTTCTTTAAAAAAAGCTTCCTTTGGGGATGTCCAAAGAGGCAACTTTGTAGAGTATCTTGTTTTATACTTGTTCCATACTCGTAATATGGCATGTCTGACAAAGTGATTATTAAAATCAAGATTAACTTTAACTTTATCATACCATAAATAATGATGCCATCCAAACCTTAGTTCATGACCTTTCAAATCAAGTAGCCTCTTATTCTGGAGGTTCACCCACTCTTTTAACCAGGCCAGGCAACATGCATCAAATACAGTTTCAAATCTGGTAAACCCAAACCCTCTTTTTCCTTAGCATCTTGCAATAACTTCTATTTAATTCTTGGTTTCTTCCCTTGCCGTATGAACTTGGAAATATCCCTTTGCCACTGATTGAATGGGACGTCAGTTGCAAGTATTGGTAATGTCTGGAACAGAAAAAGCATCTTATGGTGGTGTGATCATGATTTCGACACTTGGCAACCAACCAATGGCTGCAGTGCCCGTGGATTGTGAACCCATTTGCAACCTTCCCAGTTGGCTTCTGACAAGCCAATTAGAGATATTAAACAAGATAAAGAGCATAAGTATCAAGAAAGAAGTTTATAAACTGAGGGCATTTGCTGATGATCTGGTTATATTCCTGCAAGACCCCCAAAATAATATAGAATATTTGATGATTAAGTTAAATAAATTCAGATCTTTAGCAGGTTTCAAAATAAATAAACAGAAAACAACAAAGTGCATTTTCCGGTCATAAGTCACTAATTACAGCACCATTGTAATTCAATGTATGGTCATAAGTTGAGGACTATCTGTAAATAAATCAAATGGATGGATGGATGAACAAAATTCAGATTCTCTAGTTCTGTAGATATACCCATGCTCTATTGATTTCGTACTCCTACAGATAGGATTTTTATATTACCTTGTATTTTTTTCTTAATGGCAGCAATGACATTTGGTATCACCAAAGTGGGATGATGAAGGAGAAGAAGACCCAGATTGGATTCCGAGCTACTTCCACCCTCCTAGCCCAATCTACAACACGTGGTTGTTGAGGGAAAAATGAGAGGATAATGTATATTGCCTTGAGTTCTTGGAGGAAAAGCAGTATATTAGTCTAACAAACTAACCAACATGGCATCGTAACAGAAGTGTCTTCTGTTTGGACAGGTGAGAGGTCACATCCAGGAGGCAAAGAGGACGATCTGCTTCGCTATAGGGAAGAACACGACTGAAGGGCTGACTCACATGATGTGTGTCGAAGGGACCGATGGTAGGCTGCTATGACTGTTGAGTAATAACATCTACTAATAGATTGGTTTTCTCTTTACTTTTAATTACTTTCATTACTCAGCCCCTGTATGTTTCCTTACTTTGTACCTGCTTTAGCAGCTGAAAGTTCACAATCCAATCCTCTAGGCAGACCTGGAAGAGATGCCCTCTGAAACACCCAAATACTTCTGACAGGAAATGCAGCTTAGTCCAGATGACTTTGTAGCTTGATTCAGGTGCAGGCAGCTCCCTGCCTTTTAAGCAGTCATCTGCCTTTGTACTCCTTTGTGCTTTAATCTGCTTTGTACCTAACTTAAGGACAGTGTCTGTGCATCAAACACTGGTTTGTGAGCCAGGTTTAAGACAGCTAGCTTTTCAACCAATCCTTAATTCAGAGAATTGTTTAAACTTGGGAAAGAAAACAAACCATAATTAGTTTGTCTCTTTATGAGAACTACACATGATTGCCTTAATTTGTCGATTTGTTGAATACATAATCCTAGAAAAATACTATCCTCTTTCTCCTAGAAGACAGACATTGTATCAGCCTGTGTGCATCATAGATTTCAAGATAATAGTAGTAAAATGTATCTTACTGGACCATATGCTGAATTTTTTGAAACTGCTGAATTACTGTTATCGCTTCTTAACAAAAACAATGTCTAATTCTTAACAGGTTGCAAAAGCCCAAAACCTTGTCAGTCAGAACTCGTAGTCCTAGAACATGGGTTGTACAGTGGAGAGCCAGCAACAAAAGTGCTTTTACAGCCTCTCACAGGTACAGATATCTCGTCCCCCAGAATTAGCACAAAATTCCTCTTCTGCCACACAGAAGAGATGTTTGCACCCTTCCTTGTTTCTTTATTGTTTTTTAAGCTTGGTTGGTACAAATAATGCTAAAACCATTTGTTTATTTAAGTTATGTGCCACCCATCTCCCTGTCCACTGAACCTTTAGAAAGTAAGCTTCGAAATTACATGTATTGCTGATGATCTGTGGTAGAAAAAATATTTTTTTTTAAAAATTAATTTTAAATTTTAATTGCTCCACATATAATTATTTCAAATTAATGGGTGAAAAATTCTGTTATGTTCCAAACATTGTTATGTAATGGACAGTTTAGAGTTACTTAAATTCTTGACATTTTGGAAAGTGAGGGGTATTAACTATTGAATGCATTTTAAAAATCCTTCCTGATGTGAAATGGTAAAAGAGATACAGTCCATGAAATAAAACAAGATAATAGTTAGCATGTTGTCTGGATAGCTGAGAGATTGCATGTCTTCAATTGTTTTTCCCTGCCAGGTATGTTCCAGCAGAGTGGGTGTGCTCTAAGTCCCGTCCATTAAACATGATCATCTTGTGGGAAGATGTTGCAGCCTCCACCCTCTGAATATCATCCCCCCCAGAGAGAAAAATGGCACTCTCCTTCCTAGGGTTCTGGAAAGTTTGAAAAATTGGCTTTGCTCCCAGCTTGATGTTTATTGTTTTGTTCAATGGCTCCTCTTTTGTTGATTTTGTTTATGTTGGATAATTTTAATCACTGGTGTCTGATGTTATATTTTTAGCTTTTATGATTTTTTCTAGTTTTGTACACTGTCCAGAGTCCACTAGAATTGGGCTACCAATAAATTTAAATAAATAAAAACAATAATGGTCCTATGACATATATATATTAGTCAAGCCTCTGTTAGTCAGATACTAGAATGACAGCATGTACACACTGAATAAGTAAAAATATCTCTATTTGCTTGCTTTTTTCCAGGACATGGCAGTATAAAAGTTAGAGTTAGGCCAGTTTTGTAGTCTTGACTGTATAGACCAGTGGTTCTCAACCTTTTTAATGCCACGACCCCTAACTGGTCGTAAGTTGAGGACTACTCAACCAGTCGTAAGTCGAGGACTACTCAGCACCGTTTGCAGAATGGGACTTTTGGCAGGCTCAGCAGGGCAGAGACAGCCTGGACAATTCCTATTGGCTTTTGAAAGCCAATAGAATTAGACTCTATTCAAGAGAGTCTATTCTATTGGCTTTCAAAAGCCAATAGAATAAAAGGGAGTAGCACAGCTAAGGAAAAGGGGGAAAAAATGGCAGATTGCGTTGTTTGGCGATCCCCGTGAAATGGTCGTTCGACCCCAAATGGGGTCCCGACCCACAGGTTGAGAACCACTGGTATAGACCTATCTGTACATTCCAGGAGAAAAATTACAGATTGCAACTTTTGTCTTAGACTGAGACTTTTGACTTCTTAGCTCAGTGATTTTCCAAAAACTGATTATAATTTTGCTCAGAGGCTAAAGCTCAGAGGTGGAGCAGTGGATTTGTCTGCAGGGTTGCAGGTTTGATCTCCAAATTGTGCTGGGAAAGATTTCTGCCAGACTCTAAACATTTAACATAAGACAACATTTTGTCTAGTATCAATTTTGAGCACAAGAGATCCAAGACTCCATCCTGTAGCTGAGTAAATGGAGGGAAAAGCTGACCCTCTGCAGAGGTGGCACCTTAGCCAAGGGACTTTGCAGAGGGTATATAGAGCTTGAGACTCCAGAGGCACACCACAGAATTCCAAAAGTTCTTACTCAATTTCAGTTTTAATGTTTTCTGATTAAAAATAGTTATAATAGTAAACTAAATACTCTCTTCTTTATAAAATGGGGAGGGTCTGCAGGGGGGTCCAAAGTGTCAAGGTGAAAGCTTTGATTATATGATAGTGGCTTTCGTAAAGTATATTGGATTTTAATGAAACATGCAATGTAAATAAAATTAAAGCAGGTGTTTCTGTTGTGGCATTACTTTTGGGAATGTATTTGTCATACCAGCGAAGTACCCCACTGGGAGAAAGTTTTACCAATAGTGGCTTTTAGTATCATCCAGCCATTGCATCAAAATAATAGTAATGAGGAGAACTCTGTATCACCCCAACAATGACTGAATGAATGATTCCAGAATATGGTGTTAATGGTGTTAAGTCACAGCTTGATAAATGGTCATGGATAATTTCCTGTACTTATAGCAAATATGCATGTTGTTGCACAAGGTCATCTTTAGAGAATTGGAAACAATCTTGCACAAACAGCCTAAATTTCCCTGTTTGGAAACTTGTTTTCCTTGTTGTCTTCTTTCTTAGGAAGAACCCATCAGCTCCGAGTCCATTGCAATGCCATCGGGCACCCAATTGTGGGGGACTTTACCTATAGCTTTAAGAAGGACAGTGCTCCATATCGGATGATGCTGCATGCACATTATTTGTGCATTCCAACCAGCAAGGAGCTTATCGAAGTGAGCGCTCCAGATCCCTTTGTTCCTTCCTTTGACAGGAGTTGGGTCCCTCAGCGTCTTACACACCACTTGGATGAGGTAATCCAGGAATTGAAAGACAAGAGCATCTGGGCAGGGGAGGAAGAAAAGCAGGAAGATCCATCTGCTGTCCCAAATTGTGAGGTCATACTTGTAACAAAGACCCAAGAGATGGAGGAACAGCAAACCCACTGCAAGCAGTGGTTGTCTGAATGGGTGCTGGAATGAAATGGCTACATCTTTGTGATTGAAATTGAAGCCATCTCTCTTTACACTGTGGCTGGTGAACAGCCTTGATCCCAGGACTAAATAGGGACACATTTCTGCTTTAGTCGCAAAATTCCCAAGGAATGAGGAACACTGCACTCCTAGATTGTATTTCTAAAAGTCATGTGCCTGCATTGCAATATTTTAGTTCTCTTGGCTCAGCAGTCAGGAGAGAGGACAGGCAGGCAGGATTGGTGATTTTACTGGGTGTACAAAGGGGTTAAATTGATATATGGGTAATCCTTGATTTATGACCATAATTGAGTATAAAATTTCTGTTACTAAGCAAGGCAGTTGTTACGTGAGTTTTGCCTCATGTTATGACCTTTCCTGACTCAGTTGTTAAATGAATCAGTGCAGTTGTTAAGTTAGTAACAGTTGTTTTGTAAAGCTGGCTTTGTAAGGACCTGCCCCACTGGTCCTCTCAGGAAAACACAACACTTGACTCTATTAAGGTTAATCAAAAGAACTTTTATTGAGAGAACGTAGATGCAGTAAATTCAGGCAGAATCTAATAGTCCCACCCAACGCACAAAGCAATTCTTTTGTTTTTTCAGACCCAACTTCCTGACCAGTTCACTGGCAGCCAATGTGACTCCGCAAGGTTGTTTTCAGAATGCTGAAGTGCAAAACAGATAACAGGTCATCCTCAGGGCACATCGGCCTTGGAACCAGGCTGTTACCAGCTTGGAAGGAGTCTGCTCCGTGTCCAAAGACAATCCCCCTCCCTAATTCCCAAGCGGTTACAACAAAAGCAGAAGCATGTGAAGAATGCCAGCAGAGCCTCCCCTCCCCTCCAACACAATGGCAGGACACCAGCACGGTGGACCTGACAGGCTTTCCCATTCTGACTTTGCTTGTCAGAAGGTCATTACATGGCCCTGGGACACTGCAACCATCATAAATACATGCCAGTTGCCAAGCGCCTAAATTTTGATCATGTGATTGTGGGGAATGTGGGAATGATTTCAAAAAAAAAAAAAATGACAGAAAAATGGGGGTCTGATGGCTTGGTTAGGTTAACCTTGGAGGACGTGTGGATACAATTTACTGAATGTTTTATTGCTGTGTGGGAGATACTGGTGTTGATGGAGGGCTAAAAAAACTCAGGATGACTTTATGGAATAGAATAGAATTCTTATTGGCCAAGTGTGATTGGACACACAAGGAATTTGTCTCCAGTGGAGAAGCTCTTAGAATACATACATACAACAACAAAGTGATAGGTCATAAATCACAGTTACAATGATTAATCATAAGATAAAAACAAGTGATAAATCATAAGATACCAATAGGAGAAGATAGTAGGAAAGATGAGAAAAGATGAGACATGAGAAGATTAGAAAGATGATAATAGCAATACAGCCTACCTGTGGGAATTTAGTGTTCAGCAGAGTGATGGCATGGGGAAAAAACTGTCTTTGAGTTTAGTTTATTTGGCATGAAATGCCCTATAGCGGCATCCAGAGGGGAGGAGTTGAACCAGTTTATGTCCAGGATGTGAGGAGTCTGTAGATACTTCCACAGTCCTCTTTCTGGCTGGTGCAGGACACAGGTCCTCAATGGAAGGCTGGTTGCGATTGTTTTTTCTGCAGGCCTAACTATCCGTTGAAGTCGGTAGCTGTCCTGTTTGGTTGCTGTGCCAAGCCAGACAGTTATAGAGGTACAAATGACAGACTCAATAATTCCTCTGTAGAACTTATATCAGCAGATCTTTATAATTGAAACCCTGCCCCCTTTTTATGCGTGTCATATCTACGGAGTAAAAAAAGGGGGTGAGGCTTTGTATGATTGCAGTTGCCAAATTCTAAAGGATATTTTGACAGCCTTTTGATAATTCTATGTGCCAAGCTGCCTGGCTGGCTTCCGCTTTTTTGTGGCATCAAAGCACACCTTTGACTAATTATTTGCTTGCCAATGATCAAACTCACGGTTTTAACTTGCAGAGATGTTTGAGAGAAAACTAGCCTTTATTCAACAGTACAGTAAGATCTGTTCCAGAACATTATAGTAAATAATATATTTTTAGGATGTCTGAATTATTTTCACCACAATATTTTTGTTTTAAAAATAATGCTTGTGGTGCATTTTCTAAATGCATAAAATATTCAAATGGCTTTAAGTTAATTGCATACCAAACAGATGATATTCCCCCATCTTCCCTTTTGTTAGGTGTAGCTTATGAGTTTTTGATTCTGATTGTTGCTGAAGTCTGATGGAGAAATGACAAGGCAAATGCTTTTATTTTTGACTTATAAATGATGGGGCTGCATTCCAGTTTCTCTTAAGTAAAGGACAAAAGGTTTTGAAAATGTGTCTTTTGGTAGATTCCAGAGATTGTATGAAAGGCGTCCACATAGAATGCAGGTTTTATCTCCTTGGTTCTATACTTTCTTGCCCATGTCATACCTATGATCTTGTGAAACTGCTTAAATGTTTGCCAATATTTTAAAACTCTAGTAACCAATTGTAATGTATGTTATTTATATTCACAATTTAAGTAGAATTTTGTACAAATCACACCAGGTATAGATTATTCTGTGCATAACTCCTCCCCTTAGCTTTCCAATATTCTAATTTCAGTCTTTGAAATTGGTGCATTAAACAGCTCTTTTCACTAGAGAATGCTCACTCTGCAAATGGTCTTATTTGTGGCTGCAGTCCTTAAATGTACAAGGTTAGCAGTAAACCATCGTTAAATTGTATGTATGTATGCATGTATGTATGTATCTATGTATGTACGTATGTATGTTGAGAAAAGTAGTTAATAAACTAACAACTGTTTGATAAACTTAGCTTTCGTCGGCTAACTGCCAACATCATCAGAGTGGAATGCCAGAGATTTGAAAGCCTGCTCATAAGACTGGCAGTTTTTGTGCTCTGCTCATAGAACGCATCACTGGTCTGCCCGCCCCAGTTGACCGTATTACTTCTAATAATCTTGCATCCGTCTGTATATTTGTAAGTTCAGGGATCACCGCCTCTCTTATTGCCACTCTCTTTGCCCGCTTTGGGCATATCTGGGTACTTTGCTATAAGATGATCCTCCAGTGCATCCTGTCTTATGGCCATCCCTTGTTGTGAGTGTGGCACTCTGCTTCCCATCATTAACTCCTGTATGAATCGTGCTGGGGATTTCTCCCCTTTGCTGGTCGTATTTCTTTGTTGTTGCATGAGACCGAGGTTCTGGTCTTGCATAGGCTATACCTGTTGCACTCGTTGTGGGTTGTTGCATTGTTGTTCCCACTTCCTTAGTGCCTGATAAACAGGCAGCAACTCTATGTGGCGATTCATTGAATGTTCATCCAACAGCCAAGTTTCCTTCAGTAACCGGCCACACTTGGAGACACCCTGTGCGATGGCCTCCGCCCCGGCAAGGTCAAACGTGTGATTGTTGTTGGTCATATGGACTCACACCTGCGAGCGTTGCTCATGTCAATTAATGGCCAGCTTGTGTTCATGGATTCTAGTTCCAAGCCGTTTGGTCATCTCCCCAATGTAATTGCAGTGACAATCCTTACATTTCACTCTATATATCACTGAAGATCTTTCTTCATTGGGGAGTGGATCTTTGGGGCGCATTATTTTGGCACGAAGGGTTTGATTTGGTTTATGGGCAATACTAATGTTATATGGTGCCAATATCCATGCTGTCGCCTCTGATACCCCATTGATGTATGGCAGAGTTGTCCATGTCGTGGTGCCTGTGTGTTACATTCTGCGAGGTTCATATGGCCTGCTGTACCGTCTGATGAAATCAATTGGATAGCCATTTTGTCTGCAAATATGGTATAGATCACGGGTCGGCAACCTGCGGCTCCGGAGCCGCATGCGGCTCTTTGAGCCATCTCCTGCGGCTCCGGAGCCTCCTCCTCCCCCTCCCCCTCCTTCCTCCTGCTGCCCCCCCCCCAGGCTTCAATCCTGGCTGGGGCGGCAGGAACATCACTTCCTGGGCCGTCGAGCTGGCCACGTGTCTGCCCAGGCCAGGTGGCAGTCCTGGCTGGGGCGGCGGCTGCGTCTCCCCAGGCCGGGCTGGGTGGCAGGGGGACATTGCTTCCTGTGCCGTCCCTGGGCCACTCACCCGGCCATATGTCTCCCTGGGCCAGGCAGGCTGCAGCAGGGGGGCATCACTTCCTGGGCCGTCCCCAGGCCGTTCCCTAGGCAGCCGAGCTCACCATGCATCTCCCCGGGCTGGTCCCTGGGGTCCCGGGCACCTTTCAGCGACTTTTACCACCTCCTGCCTCCGTCCCCTCCCTGCCCCTTTGGCGCCGTCTGCCTTGCTTTCTCTCTCTCTCTCTCCTCATCTGGAGAGAGGGGGGGGCAGAGGAAAGAGAGAGAAAGAGAGAGGGTGACTTGTTCGGGCAAAGAACCAGTGGGGGACAAGGTGAGCTAAGTCAAAAGACACGGAACTTTCGTGCTAGCTTCTCCCGAACCCTTGTTATCCCTGCCACAAACTCAGCTCATCCGCCCTCACTCTCTCCTCTCCTCTCTGCGAATGAGGCTGCTTGCTTCAAATGGCTTGCTACCGAGGTCCGGGAGCCAGGCAGACGGGTAAGTCTCGATCGCAGTATTTTGTTGCTGTTGTTTTGCGCACGCGTGGCGCTGGCTGGGAACAGAGCCAAGCAAGCTCTGTGGTTGGAAGTCCCTGCAGTTTAGGAGCCAGGATTTCCCCCCTCTCAGTCCCAAATCCCAAGCAGGATTCACCACTTTGGGATTGGAAGTGAGCTGCGAGGAGACGGTCTGTCTCTTTTCCTCCCCTGCTCCCTTCCGCGCCGGCTACTGAGGCTCCCTGCTGGGTGCAGTCGGCTTGAAGCGGAGGAGGGGGAGGGGCCTTTCAAAGCGTGAGATTGCAACGGATGGGACAGCCTTTCAGGAAGGTGCGGGTGAACTGTAGCTCTCCAGATATTACTAACATACAGCGTTTGCTGTCCCTGCAGCAGAATTGATGAGAGGTGCTGGCATTTCTCTTGGTCAGAATGTGGTGAATCCACATTGCCCATCTCTAAAGGAGGAAGTTAAAGGTTTTGGTAGGTGAACTGGTTCTGTTAGTAAAGGGGGGGGGAGGTGAAGAGAAAAAAAGAGGGAGAGAGAGAGAGAGGAAAGAGGGAGGAAAGAAAGAGGAAAGAGGAAGAAAGAGAAAGGGAGAGGAAAGAGAGAGGGAGAGGGGAGAGAAAGGAAAGAAAGAGAAAGAGGGAGAAAGAAAGGGAGATGAAAGGGAGAGGGGGAGAGAGAAAAGAGGAAGTGAGAGGGAGAGAGAGGAAAGAGAAAGAGGAAAGGGAGAAAGGAAAGAAAGAAAGGAAGAAAGAAAGGGAGATGAAAGAAAGGGAGAGGGGGAGAGAGAGGAAAGAAATAGAAAGAGGGAGAAAGGGAGGAAAGGGAGAAAGAGGAGAGAGGGAGAGGGGGAGAGAGGAAAGGAAAGAGGAAAGAGAAAGGGAGAAAGAGGAAAGAAAAGAAAAAGGAAAGGAAGAAAGGATAGAAAGGGAGAAAGAGGAAAGAAAGAAAGGGAGAGGAAAGGGGGAGAGAGGAAAGAGGAAAAAGGGAGAAAGAGAGGAAAGAGAAAGGGAGAAGAAACAGGAAAGAGAAAGGGAGGTAGAGGAAAGGGAGAGAGGAAAGGGAGGGGAAAGAGAAAGAGGGAGGGGGAGAGAGGAAAGAAAGGAAAGAGGAAAGAAAGAAAGTGAGAAAGAAAAGAGAAAGGGAGATGAAAGAAAGGGAGAGGGGGAGAGAGGAAAGAAATAGAGGGAGAAAGAGGAAAGAAAGAAAGGAAGAAAAGAGAAAGGGAAAGGAAAGAGAAAGGGGGAGAGAGAGGAAAGAGAGGAAAGGAAGGGAGAAAGAGAAAAGAGAAAGGGAGATGAAAGAAGGTGAGGGAGAGGAAAGAAATAGAAAGGGAGACAGGAAAGAAAGGGAGAAAGGAAAAGAAGAAAGAGAAAAGAAAGGGAGAGGAAAGAAAGGGAGGGGAGAGAGGAAAGAGGAAAGAAAGGGAGAAAGAGAAAGGGAGAGGAGGAGAGGAAAGAAATAGAAAGGGGGAAAGAGGAAGAAAAGAAAGGGAAAGGAAAGGAAAGAGGGAGAAAGAAAAGAAAGGGAGATGAAAGAAGGGGAGGAGAGAGGGGGGAAAGAAATAGAAAGGGGGAAAGAGGGAGAAAGGAAAAAAGGGAGAGAGAGGAAAGAAAGGAAAGAGGAAAGAGGGAGAAAGGAAAGGAAAGAGGAGAGAAAGGGAGAAAGGAAAGAAAGGGAGAAAGAGAGGAAGGAAAGAAAGGGAAAGGGAGAGGAAAGGGGGAGAAAGTAAATAGAAAGAGGGAGAAAGAGGAAAGAGAAAAGGAGAAGAAAGAGGAAAGAGAAAGGGAGGGAGAGGAAAGAAAGGGAGAGAAGAAAGAGGGAGAGGAAAGAGAGAAAGGGGGGAAGTGCAAGTGCCCCCCCCTCTCTCTCTCTCACACACACACACAGGGGGAAGAAGACTAGCAGACCAAGGGCAGAAAGAGGGAGGGGGAGAGGGAGAGAGGAGAGAGAGAGAGAGATCCTTTTGACATCTAAAATGAAGATAAGACTGCATATATCCATATATATATGGATATATGCAGTCTTATCTTCATTTTAGATATCCAAAGGGTTTTGCGGCTCCCTGTGTTTTGTTTTCAGTGGGAAATGGGTCCAAGTGGCTCTTTGAGTATTTTGGGTTGCCTACCCCTGGTATAGATGATTCCTCTCCTCAACTTTTGCCCTATCCGTGTTGCAGTGAGTGTACACACGCTTAAATAGCGTTCTGATACAGCCTATTTTGTGTGACATGGGATGATTACTCTTGTAGTGTAAAATTCTGTCTGTATGTGTTGGTTTTCGGATGATTTCCCGGTGTTCGACTACTTTTCTCAACACACACACAGACACACACACACACAGACACACACACACACACACACACACACATATATATATATATATTTGTTGTTGTTAATTGCGAAGTCGTGTCCGACCCATCGTGACCCCATGGACAACGTTCCTCCAGGTCTTCCTGTCCTCTACCATCTTCTGGAGTCCATTTAAATTCACACCTACTGCTTCAGTGACTCCATCCAGCCATCTCATTCTCTGTCGTCCCCTTCTTCTATTGCCCTCAATCTTTCCCAGCATTAGGCTCTTCTCCAGTGAATCCTTCCTTCTCATTAGGTGGCCAAAGTACTTGAGTTTCAACTTCAGGATCTGGCCTTCCAAGGAGCAGTCGGGGTTGATCTCTTCTAGGACTGACCGGTTTGAACGCCTTGCAGTCCAAGGGACTCGCAGGAGTCTTCTCCAGCACCATAGTTCAAAGGCCTCAATTCTTTGGCCCTCAGCCTTTCTTATGCTCCAACTTTCACAGCCATACATTGCAACTGGGAAAACCATGGCCTGGACTATACGCACTTTTGTTGGCAGGGTGATGTCTCTGCTTTTTAGAATGCTGTCTAGATTTGCCATAGCTTTCCTCCCCAGGAGCAAGCGTCTTTTAATTTCTTGGCTGCAGTCCCCATCTGAGGTGATCTTGGAGCCCAGAAAAATAAAATCTGTCACTACCTCCATTTCTTCCCCATCTATTTGCCAGGAATTGAGAGGGCCGGATGCCATGATTTTGGTTTTCTTAATGTTGAGTTTCAAGCCAACTTTTGCACTCTCCTTCTTCACCCGCATCAAGAGGCTCTTTAGTTCCTCTTCACTTTCTGCCATCAGAGTGGTATCATCTGCATATCTTAGGTTGTTGATATTTCTCCCGGCAATCTTAATTCCAACTTTTGATTCATCTAGCCCTGCCTTTCTCATGAT